CTGCCAACCGATGTCAGTGGCGTTCTTGTTGTCAGTTTCTATCCAGATTGCCTGAGTGAATGTCTGGAGGTGTAGGCACCTCGGAATGATTGTGTCAAGCTAGCACTAAGTCCCTCCCCCGTCCACCTTTACTCTTTTCTTTACAATAAGGCTTTCAAATAAGTCACGGTTGTACGGCAGTGAAGCATCGGTGTTGAACACTGATGTCATGCTGTCGATGATGATGATGGTGATGATGATGGTCTACTGTTCGAAAAGGTTCATTTCGGTACATTTGATCTGGTTTCTCATGACTTCAACACGAACGCGTTTTTTACTCGATACTACTAATAATTGTACAGCTGTGGTACACTTTCGGTGCATAACTGCCGCGCAACTAGATGGAGGCAAGAGGGTCAAGATACTGCCAGGTTGTACAAGCTCAGACAGTTTTTATCCGATAACCCACGTTGGCTCTGGGGATAGCGGTGGTGCAATACTTGCGGGTTTCGAAGCTTACCGCAGCGTGAGGATTATGTCTTGAGCTCCTTAGTGCTCGCAAAGGACGTAATCGTGCGGACTCACCCGTGATTTCTCAATTCGTTGTCAGCCTTGAATAACATATTATCTCAGCTCCCGTGCTTGCACCGAGTTTCAGGGCAACCTTGGGGTAAAAATATCACAGTTGGACAATCATACTTTCATTTTATTCGGGGAGTTTTCTTTACTGAAGTTTGGTTGAGGTACTGTTTTAATGCGGAACACTTTCCACAATCATCGAATAGTTCATTCACTTGCACGCTGAGCTGGTGTAATCGGAATTTCGATTGAGTCCCTGGTGATTCGTTCCGTTCCGTGCAGCGCAACTGAGAAGTACTCCAGATAGCTCTGATTAAATGTAACTGTCTGCCAAAGTTTTTTTGCTCGAAGCGTGATTGAAAAATGGCAAAGATGTTGACTTATCAACCAATTTCAAGTGGTTATGGAATTAACACGGGTATGAAATGAGGCTGTGTTCACCCACCCGTCCTGTACCTGATGATCGTTGTGGAATCAGCTTCTGTTAATGGTTATGTTGGAATGTAACCCGACTATTGCTTTGACGGGGGGTCTGTCAGAGATCTGACGTTTTGATGCACAGAATCTGGTTCGCTGGGCCAAGATTTAGTGCATCATCTTTACGGGCTACCCTGTTGTTGGGACACACTGATGACAGCTGCTGCGCAGTTTTGCCTGTGCATTGAAACAAAGAGGGCTGTTGTTATAGACCAATCTTCGATGGATGAAGTGGGCGGTACTCACAACATCAAGATGAACCAATTTCACCGAATATTATGTAGACTTCTGCCATCTCGGTAGAACACACCGTCAGTCTGACTGTCGACTGGGGGCGAGATGGCCCAAGTTGTTAGAGCGCGAATTTACTGACCGGAAGGTCCGTGGTTCGAATCCGACCTTCGCCACTCGCCTTCCCCTGTCTAGGCTTGGGCAACCTGGCAGTATCGTGCTTCCTTCGGGTGGCATGGCAGCTAGGCACCGGAACGCTTTCTTTCTGACGAGGCGAATTAGCTTCACTTGAACGTAAGAAACGGACAAGGTGAAGACGAAGCGCCTGCAAGGCAGTTCTGTGCTGTTGTGTGGAATCACCGAAATGTCCGCTAAGCGGTTTAACCCATGGACGTTCGAGCGAGATTCTCGTTGGTATCGTCGTTGTCATTGTTTGTCAACATAGTATGCGGTAAAACGGTATTCTCAGGGTTCAGTTTATACTGTCAATGAAAAAGAATCTCTTCATACCACCTGTACAGGAACCAAGATAGCATGAAGGAATGATGTAGGAATGGTAGTAGGCTTCACCCGTCCTACTTGTGATGAAGACACTCATTTGAAACATTGATGTTATACATTTACGCCACCAGAAGCTTGTGGATATGTCCATATTCCCTCACTTTGGAGCCACTCATCTTAATTTCAGTCCACATGAAACAGTCCATCACCAACAAGGTGAAAGGCTATTTTGACATTATAGAACAACTAAAATGTTCAGTCGTATGCGTGATGCTGCGCATACACCCAACGCACAACAAAAAATGAACCGCTACCCCCACATGGAATTGGAATCGCATCTCATATGTCCACACAGCGTTTCACCCCATTTTGAATGTCAAAAGCTTTGTCGGATGAATTATACTGCGTCTATCTGGTTATGATGAAGAAGCTTGCTGGCACTGGCTGTTTGTGTGCACTGTGCATGTGAAAATTGCCTCGTAAATTTAACAGGACTTTTTTGTGAAGATGGTGAGGCGTCGCACTGTCAGGTGAATCTTCGAGCACGGTCTAGGTTTGAAAGAAAGTTTGGTGAATCACCATATCGACTACCCCAACCTTGGTGGAGATGCAATGCGGTTAGGTGTAAGGTAAGTCCATAACGGCTATGTCCTGTAAAAATCATACTGGCTGAGTTCCGTCGAGCTTAACCTTACGGAAGGTGCGGTAAGGGAGGTTGTTTAGGTTAACCCCGGGGACTTCCAGATGCAAAGCGTGGTAATTAGAGGGGATTGTCAGAGCTTTATCTGATGGAGTGGCCTTGATCCCAACTGAAAGCCCCGGCTTACGTAGCAAGCAAGCTCGGACTCATACGTCACCACAGCATTCAGTTTGACCATTTTTGGCTCATTTGTAGTAGAATGATCGCCTGATCTCCTAGGGATCTTGGATAGCTGGCCACCATCCGGAAGGCATGCTAACTAGACAAAGAATTACAGGTGCCCGAAGATTTCTACCCTTTCCCCCTTATTTCACAATTCGGATTTGGTAGGCGAAATCAAGAACTATCAACTTGAACGAAAGTCCGTGTGATGCCGTTTGACCATTCATTCTGTAGTGTGAAGTACCTGTCAAGTCGAATAAAACCCGTTATAAAGAATATAAAAAAAAGAAGTTCACTGTTGTATTGGTAGGCTGCAGAACCCCTTGCACGTGTTGGATGATTGCACATGCGCAGTCAGACTACAGCAGCTTTTCGTGGTCGTTTGACTACTGAGATTGCGTCAATCGCTTGTTCATGTGTTACATCAGAGCTGTGAAACTCTGACCGTACGTGCAGTCCACCTGTAAATTTCAGACCCCGTTTCGGCTGTTGATTGGGAGCTAGGTTGGTTTACCTCAGGGTTTATTTACCCACTGAGTGGTACAGCCCGCCTGGTGCATGCAACTTTTTCGGGTTACAATTGTGTCAACTCTCGTATATGGAGGTGACACGAAGAGGAAATGCACTGTTCCATTAGTCTGAAATAATTTAGCAGCATACTGAAATGTTTTCTAGCGGGAAACCTAACCCACATCAATCCATGCTTTTCTATATTACACTGACGCAGTAGCAGTTTCATTATGCGATAAAGGTTCCTAAGAGACTGTTCTGATGTCCCGATGAGCATCACCTTTATATTTCTATCGATACATCCATCGCCTTCTTGTTTTAGCCATAAATTGATTAACTCTGACAATTGCACTTCCACCGCTTTTAATTGGTATTTTGGCGTCCCATCAGTACCACTCCCATTCGAAGCTGACGTTTCCGTACATTGCAATTGTCATCGAACTTTTATTGGAGCTAGAGGATGAATTCACTAGACGTAGCAACTGGCAGGTATTTCTAAGTTTTCACCCGATACCTAAAATAGTTTTTGTTTTATTCTCATTTATATAGCTTAAACCAGAGCTGCGAGCACGTTTAGCCATCCTCCAGCAAATCGTACCTCGTCTTCCGGAGAAACTGCTTACTGGTGGAGCGCATGTAGGAGGCAGTCCAGGGGCGCAGTCGGCAAGCGGTGCTGCAGCGTTAGGCAATTCAGGTCCCGGATGCGGCTCTATTACCAAATTGCCCACTGTAGACGAGGCCTGGAGTCTTCCCATTCCGGCGGAACTCACGCAACGCCAGATGCAGTTAATGCTCCAAGAGGCCGCCGCCAATTCGGACGATTCTAGCCTGGGGGGCTTACGTCCAGAGAAGCATCTCTCCAGTATTTTGTTGGCAACACCGCTTGCTTCAATTCTGCGCAAACGCACTGGAAGACATCATTCCTCGAATTCAAGTACGTTCCTTCAGTTCACCTGACTACGATGGTCCTGTGTACTTTTCGCTAGGGTGCGTCTTTTAGACTAACAAAGATGCCAAAAAAAACCGTGCTGATAAACCAAATTTAATTATTGAGACTGATAGCTAGTTTGTCAAGCTAACGCAAGGCTACTCCCAGTTCGCTCCCACCCGGCCTGGTAGAACAACCCCCAGTTTCACTCAAAATCAATTGTCACCCTTTTATGGTTACTGCTTTCTTTGGGCATTATATCTTTCAGTTTGTCTGCATTGTCTGCGATACTTAGTCACAAACTGATGTTAAAATGGCTTGAGCGCACGCCGCGTGTCCATTATCATCGTCCTAAGCTGGCTGGACTCTCCACTCCTACCTGGCGCAAAGTTTTTTGGGTAGAGGACGTAAAATGAGAGCGCCAACTATGAGACTGGAGTTTGTGGAACCTCTGTACCCTCAAGATTGACTGGCGTTCATGTTATTTACTTTTCGTATCGTACGTAGCCGGTCCCACTGTCCAGCTCGCTGCTGCTTCTAGGTTGGGTCATCCAGCTTCTGGAATTTGTTGACCAAGATTGCCTCCCACACCAGCTTGTAACTCGTATAGGTTTATTGAAAGGTGGGAGCACCACGCTGTCTTTTGCGTTAAATCCTTACCATTTCCACTTCTTTTTCTGCCACCATTGTTGCGTCACAACTAAGCATGCTAACGTTGCCGTCTATGGTGATGCTATTCTTGATGCTCCCACTGATGATAATGACGATGACAACAGCCACTGTCTCAGTTTTCCTCACTTGCGTGGGAAGTCGTTTTTATTGCGTCTATGTTTGATTTCCTATCAGCCAGAGATCCTCTGATCTGTTCGTTGAATTGAGGGAAATCATTTTTGTTACAGTTTCCTGGATACTTTCTGCCTAACAAAAATCACCTAGTATAGGCTGTTGTTAGTGTTTGGGTAGGGGTGTCTTCCTACCTACCTATTCAGTATTTCAAGTTTCAAGGAAGGATTCCTGACTTGTGTTTCACTGTCAATCTTCCTGGTCTATTTCGCGCCTTTGTTGCCACTTCCTGCTTGCAACCAATTCGGAGACGGGATAACGCGTGGTGCAAACTTAGTGTGCACGAAGGCTAGTAACCCGTGATTCAAGGTGCCAAGCGAACCCTACAAACAGTCATTAGCTACCTAGTCGCGGGGGAGCGAGATTGCCCAGTGGTTAGAGCGCGAATTTACTGACCGGAAGGTCCTGACCCCTTGTCTCTCGACTTCCCCTGTCCAGGCTGGAGCAGCCAGGCAGTATCTCAGCCCTCGTGCTTCCTTTGGGTGGCATGGCAGCTAGGCATCGAAAGGGTGTTGCAGCTGAATGATTTTTTCACCTCGTAGGGACACGTTTCTTTTTCGGTATAGCTTTGGAACTGTACGTTTAAAGCCTTCATAGGTTTTGATTATGGACTATAGAGCCATGTATGTTTAGTACTTATCGGCCTACTTAAAGCATCAAGCGCATAATTTCATCCACAACAAGTAGCAAATCTTTTGAAAATGATTTAAGATACCTATATTTTTGGCTCAAGCTGGTTTACAAAAACACCAGTTCTGGATCGTAGACAGACTTCTTTCTACCTATCTTGTTTGGACGCAGCTATTTAATGTCTACACGCGCAGTGATGGTCAGCAAACCAAGTGAAGTCAATGGGAAGTCATAGTGAGGGCAAACCTGTCACGAACTTAGTGATAGCGAAATCATTCCAACCGTTCTTTTTTGTTGATTTGGCCAAGTTACTCATCCTTACTGTGTAGGCTCGGTGCCTTCCAGGACGCTCGTGATATCAGCATCCTTATTAGGTTCTAGCCCGCGGTTCCTACATAGAGTTCCTCTCAAATCACCGGTGACACGTTTGCTATCATCTTCCCTAGGGAGCTCACAAGCTCTTGAACACTAACACCCATTTGAATGGGTTTGGGCATTCATTTCATTCATTCATCAGCAGTGAAAACCGCGTACTTGCCACATTTTCGTTCAATGATCTATGAAGGTGGGGAAGGTAGCTGCGCTTTGGAAGCGGGAGCCCACATAACTGATGCGTAAATAGAGGTTTGTCAGTGGACTTTCAAGTGGGGAGATTGGGAGGAGAGCTACGCATCCAAGGTGTCAGCTTGGGTGCACGAGCGCCTTTGAAAGCGTGACTGGGCTGTCTCACAATGTCTCTAACCATTGATGTGTCTCGTCTCGGGGTCCCCATCCAGGGAGACGGCAGTGACCAGCACAGCTGCGTCTGCTAGTAATGGCTTTCATTGTTTGACCTCCGTTGCTCGTTCCCACCCTTCGCGTGGTTTGCTGAAAGAGCCCCTCGATTAAATTGGTCGACTACCTTACGGAGCACGTAAGCAGTCTACGGAGTGTGATCAGTTAATCTGTTATGGGCGAGTTCTTTCTTCCGAAGACCATTGCAAGCCAGTTGTCAAGCTCGGCGAACAGATCAACATCCAATAAACTCCCCCGAGCTACCAATATTTTAACACATTACTAACTTGTGTACTGCCTCAATCAGCTCATCCGCAAGCATGACGTTAGGGTTCGAGTCAACCAAGTCTTGCAGCAACACTTTACATTTTGCTGGTATGAAGCATATGCCAAACGTTGTCTGCATCATTATTTAAGAAGGGCTATGTCGTCTACGTACTGGATATCTGTGAGAGTCCCCTGGTTACATCTCAGTCCTACTGGCATTAGAAACTGGGAGTCACAGTTCCATGATCATATCATTGACGAAGTTGAAGAGGTGAAAGGTGAAAGAAAAGAGCCCTGTCTGACACCACTTGATGTGATAAACTTAAACTATAACTTCTCGTATAGTTTCACACGGCCGCGCGAGTTGGCGTACAGCGCCTTAAGAAGTGTCAATAATCTGTGCAGGACACCTTTTCTCCATAGTGCCTGACGGTCCACTAAGTCAAGGACAGTTTTTGAGTTATAGAGGTCACCATTGTTGGTTGCTAGCAGCAGCTTCGTTGTTCCAGAAACTGTCGGAGGACAGAAATTTGATCGACTCGGGAAATAATCTAGTTTGGTTTCCACGGATCTGTCTCTCTCTCTCTCTGCGCCCAGTCAACCTTCGAAGAATAAGGCGTGATAGAATCTTACTGCCTTCACACTCCTATCGCAGCGGACAGTACCACTTTACCTCCTCGTAGTACGGGTTTGGAATAGAAATTTAACCTCATTCATCTCCCGGGATGCTAGGATGGTTCTGATGTGCTCCATATGTATGTATCTGTGGAGAGACTAAAATCATGTACTTCTCCACTGAAACTCACCAATTTCAGCGTCGTTGCTATTCGACCTGTTTTGTACTTGTCCGTCTGATATTTGCAGGTGACTCCCAGAAAGTGGTCTCAGAGGGGAGCATGGAAACTAACGTAAAAAGACCCAAGCGCGAGGGCTCACCGGTCGTCGCCCCTCTCACTGTGCAACAACAACAAATGCTCCAGACACTACAGGTAGGTCCATTCCTGAGGTTTTCGTTTTGAATACCTATTTTCATGCAGACCAAGAGTAGCGCTGGACAAAAATACAGTATTACAGCTGTTCCTTCATTCTACTCATTTTTAGGCATTTTTGTAACTGTCATGAAGTTGTTTGCGAGCCATTCCCATCCAAGCACTTATTGGAATACGTAGTCACCTCACCTGGGTTGGCTACTGCCAATGCTCTCGTCTGTGCACCATCCTTCCATTTTAGGACGTTGTGTAGCAGTGGCATCAATGTCCTCAATAGTGTTTTTTGCACGCCATGATTAGAACCAGCTAGGAAGAGGATTAGCACCCACCGCACTCATTCTTTCTGACTTCATTTATGCAGGCGCAAGAAACGTCCCTCAGTGCAGCACATCGTCATCTATTGAACCAACTTCAAAATCAAGCACTCCGCTACCATCAACACTGTCAAACCCAACGGCGTCGTGGGACTGCCCCCGAATCGGGAAGCCGTGAATTCACTCAGAAGTCCTCATCCGTCCTTCATGCCTCTCCGGCTACTGCACGTACAGAAAGTGAGAATAACGATCCTTTGGAAAGTGGAAACCCGTCTGGCGTCGTATCTGGAGAGGAGGCGGTCGATCTATTCCCCACCGATGATACACTTCCCACTGTAGTTGGCAGTCCGGGTGCGGATCACTTGCCAGAAGAGGATTTGGCTTTTTTGACAGATGATTTGTTGGCGCAACTAAATCGTTCAGAGGCGGCGGCCAATCTCGACCTCGTAGAATTTGCTTTGTTTGCAAATGCTCCCTCAGGATCTGAACAGGTTCGCCCGTCCAGCGGATCACATAATACAGAGGAGAAGGCATCGAACCCACGGATGGAAGAAAAGTGCAGTTTGGGTGACGGGTCCGACCTGTTGAAATCAGGGAATCCTGGCCCAATGGACTGTACAGAAACCATTAATTCACCCACATCTGGGACAGACGCACTTGGATGTTGTCGTTCCAATAATTCAGACCCAGTGGACCTCTATACCTATTTAACACGACCCTTGTTCACGCCCGCCAGTGCTACTGCCTCCCTTACTGTGAACATGTCATCCTCCCAGGTAACACACACTTAACACTGTCTCCTTAAACTGAGCTTTTTGAAGTCAGTGTGCTCCGCGTTTGTTTATGCTTTTACGTCTGCTTGGAGATAGCAGTAACATGGATCCGGGTATTTCTTGATAGCGGCAGCGTTGATTATCCCCTTTCCAACTAAGGCACCCATCAGCTGGTTTCAAAGAAGCACTTATCGAAATATAAATCCTTCACTTCAAAATGTCAGTCACATGTCAGCGGTCTTCATACGCCCACCTGATTTGCCATGCTAAGGGATAAAGTTCTTATATTGCCGTGATGGTCAACCTTCAACTTAATTCTTATAGAACACTTAGTCGTATATGCATCGATCAATCTTGTATTCTCGTCGCATCATTCATTTATGCCGTCAGTTGAACATTATATTGAACATTATATTCGAAATCTGATAGGGTGATATTTCTTCAATCGAAGTGCCTTTCTTCGTGTAAGCCGCTGCAACTCGGATTCAGTGATGTAGATACACACACTAATGGTCTCTTATGCCCCCCCACACACACAAATGGGGGTTTGGTCCTACCCATCACATTGGGTCGTGGACGTGAAGCGTGTCCCAATAGGACTCGTAATGTCGGTCGTGCTTTTGATAATACCAACCACCATATAACCTTTGTATTTTAAGTTGACTATCTAACAATGAACTAAATAAAACGGAGTCTGCTTAAGGGGACGACAAACATGGGATTTATGGACGGATAGACTAGTCTAGTATAATAGCACGAGACTGCTTCCTGTGTTGATCCGAGACCACCGAAACCCTATAACTTCCTTCGAAGATACTCCGTGGTTTTTCGTTCTGGATCGCTTGCAACTGCAGACATAAGAGTGTCCCAAAATACAATACTCATACGGCTAATTCCGCTAATTCCTGACAGCAACAGCACCTCACACTCAGCATCTGAGGTTTAAAGCCTGCATGTTGGTAGCTCCTCGTACGGATGTCAGTCTGTTTCACCCTCGTGTATGATGTTCTGTCTCAGCTTCTCGGGTCTCCCCTAAATCAGCTCAATGATGTGGTCGCCGTGACATATCCACGGAATGTACGCACCAAGTCGCACTACATGTAATTCCCAACTCATTATTTTCAGCCATCTCTGAAGCAAAAAGTGCAGTGATACAACGGCCCTTAACTCCGCCACAAGCGCATCAGAGTGCTACCCCCTAGTACACCGTCATCGCCAAAATCGGCTGGGGTTGAGACGCTGTCAGTACCAATTATCGAACCAGCGCTTGTTTTCTGCCAAGTGTAATTTGCCTTATTTCTGACTACTTGCTAGTTATGGCAGTATTTAGGCTCTATTTAGAAAGAAATACTTTGGCGCGAGTAGGGTGGTAGGCTTTTCTGTGATCCTACTTTTCTAGTACCACTGCTAATGGTGTGTGACATAAAAAGTGAGCTGCCGCAACGCGTGTGACAGCGAGGAGATAAGTGCTGTGGCATGGTTCGAAATGGACCCTGGTGATGGTGCCGTGGCCGACTGACCAAACAAAAATGTGGTTACTCTGTGCAGGATTTCTATCGGTTCGCAGTGTTATTTCTGGAGGGGAAGTATAGTTTTCTAACTAATGCAAAACCAAACATCAGAAACATGTGTTTGCTGTGAAATTGCATCTCGCTCCTAATACATCAGTAGCATGCACTCATTCTGTCAGGAACTTGACGGATGTATCGAAATCCGTCGCTCCAGGTAAGTGCTTACCTTAAGTTTCTTGCCGTAATTTGCAATTTACCCCTCGTTGGAATCCTGTTGTTTATGGTATATAAACCGAGCCCCTGATTGTGTTGGAGGCAGTGTGTCGTCTGCTGATTCCAAGACGTAGTCACTAACTGCCCTGTTTAGCTTGCTTTCAGCCGTTCACTTTAATATCTATCGCATCTTCTGGGTTTTCAGATTCTGAACAACATTCGTGGTTTGGGGCGTTCCGGTGGACCATGGTGGCCAGGTATACAGCCCGAGGGTAGCCCCATCCCTGTGCAACCAGCCAAACCCTACCCACCTCCGCCAAAGGACAGGCTGCTTCCGCCCACGCCTAGTGTCTACCTCGAAGGTCGGAAGGATGCACATTCGCCTGAACTGATGCGCTATTGTTTTTCCCAACCTGTTGTGGTGATACGTGGACTTGCGGCTGCCCTCCGACTGGATTTGGGTCTTTTCTCAACTAAAACACTTGTAGAAGCCCATCCTGACCACCGCATAGAAGTACGTTGCTAATATACACGACTCTCTGTATTTTTTCTGCTGTTTATCTCTTTTCTTGATCACTTTAGTTACCTAGATACCAGTTGAAAAGACTCAATTATGTCAATGAACTCTGTAGACCTGGTCCACCACGTCAGTGACTATCCACTGTTTGCCTTCAGTCTATACCCTGGACTTCCTTATTATGAGTTTAAATTTAATTCTGATAGAAGGCGAATTCCGATTGGATGTTCTTTCCCTGTTTTACGCCGACGAGTGGTCCAATAATTCGGTCATGATCTGTTTTTTTTTCGCGGCTTGCCTTCATCCTACTAAATCTGACTGAAAGTTTGCACCATTAGCACCCTCAAGACAACGATTGAAGAAGACCGGTTGACCGCTAATTCTAAATGCTTAACTAACGAAACTATATAAGTGTCCGCTATGTGAAAAGACAACGGGCGAGTCAATCAAAATATGCTCCAATCGTAAATGGGAACGTCCCAGCTCTTCGATAAGTGGGTTGTTAGTAGTGAGGATATTTCACTACCAACAAATTATGCGTGGTCTGCTCAAGTAGTAAAAGCCTCAGGTGTTTCATGAACCTTTCTTCTAAGAAATCACCTCTTGAGGAACTAGTCAACACCTTAATCGTGTTAGTGAAGGTTGACTGGTGCTAAATCCAGTTTAATTGGGGGTTGATCACCCAATTGTATGCGCACTGGTGGTTCGGTTCAGTTCAGTTGGAAAACGTTGAATCGTGTACGTATGTACTGTGGTTCGAATCGCATAACTCATTCCGGCGAATTATCAGACGTCAAGCGAAAATGATATTGCGGCCCGTGAGCGTTCAGCTGTAGCACCCTTCCTGTGCCTAGCTGCCTTGCCACCCGAAGGAAGCACGAGGGCTGGGATATTGCCAGGTTGCCCAAGCCTAGACAGGGGAAGGCGAGTGGCGGAGGTCGAATTCGAACCACGGACCTTCCGGTCAGTAAATTCGCGCTCTAACCACTTGGGCCATCTCGCCATCCCGGCCCGTGAGGCTCAAAAAGTAATCCTCGTGGCCCACAAACCGAATGCCACTCTAAAGAAACTGATCTCAAGACCGAAGGACAACCGGGACAAAACCAAGAGGAATAATGGGGTATGCCAAATCAACTGCAACAAGTTCTTCGTTGGATAAACCGTGAGGAAGTTATGCACACGAATAAAGGAACACAAGGCAGTCGTCAGGAGACATGACCCCATATCCTTGATATCCATACACGAAGACCAAGAAGGTCACAAATTCAATCTGGAGAACGCAAAAATTTTGGTAGGCGGAGACACGAGAATTTCCGGAAGCATGTTACTCCAGGGCGGATTCGACCAACTGGATCCAATTTACGCACCACCACGTGCCACCTTAGCCAGAATACTCAAGAGGAACCGTAAATCAGGTTCACAAACAAAGAAACTAGGAACTCCTTAGAGCCGGATCAATAAAGGTCACAAGCCGGACTCGGAAGGATCAAGAAACCACTCTAGCATCGACCATAGTACGAGAGCCAGGGGCGCTAAGCTCAGAGGTCACGTTGGTATCAATGAATCGGGACACAGGATAGCAGAGCAATTAATGGAACCACCCGACCGAACAATTAATCGTGATCAAAGGTCAGCCGCTGCTGGCAGCACGCATAATAACATACACGCTATACTACTCAACGCACAACCGCCAACCCATCGCTACGCACGCACAAACCGCACTGATTTCACCTCGACCAATAAAGAAACGTTTGCAATCAAAGTGCCTAAAAAAGCAATCCAAGGACGAATAATGTGGTTGCGCTAGAGGAGTATCCGCTACAAGAAGGGTAGTTACGGAAGGGAATGGGATGCTTCTTATCAGATGCTCAATGCTGCGAACTCCAGGGGTCCGTTATACTCGCATTGTGTATCCGTTGTAAGCCCTCAACAGTGGGGAAAGTACCATCAGTAGCTCGTAGTTGTCTTATCGTGCTACCCTTGTACTTTCTGTGGTGTTAAAATTCGGGTGGTGATCTGGCTAGTAATCCAATACTCGACTACTTCGAAGCAGCAGCCATACTTTCTTCGAGTGGGCCTAGTCCTTAAATGAACTATGGCGCGTTTCCCACACGGCCCCCAAGTATGTCGCCTTACTGGAGTTAACGAAGGTTTTTACAAGGGTCTCAGCACTGTGTTCGTTATATCAGTAGTCGTTATGGAGGGGAAAGCTAGTAACTTGAGCTGTGAATTCGATGCCTGAATTTTTCTCTGGGCGTGGCGGTATCACATCAAATGTTTCGTCACCAATTGAGGTGACGTCATCAGTCCGTAGTGGTGCAGCGATGCGTCGGTGTGGAGACCCACTGATGTCATCGTCTCGGTTGATGACGAAAGGTTTCCAACAATGTTTCCAAGTGCCCCGAACAATTTAACCATAAACTTAGTTGGTACCAGGCAGTCTAGCTGCCGAAATACTCAGTGTGGCCACCACTGTTGTGGCAGTCACCTTATCCGACAGTGATGCAATCATGGTACCCTTCATTTTCTGGTCTATCTATCTTTGATCCCAGTCACAATTGGCCGTTTTGCATTATTCACCCAGTTTGAGCATATTATTACCATCCTGTTGATGTTGTCGTCGTTTCGAATAACGGTCTCTGGTCCTTGATCGTATTGGAAATTAAGCTTCACTGGTTGGACTGAAAATAAATTCTGTAGAGACGGCTTTCGTCACCACAGGCATGTATGTCCAGTTTAGCCCGCTTACTGTTAACCGAGAGTCATAAATCAAATCGGTTCCTTCAAGTATTTGGACCTTATCCTCCCAAATAGTCAAGCGCGACATCAACACCATCAGGAATACCTTTATACAACTTCACTCTGCTCTGTGGAAACGCTTGGAAGCTAGCCTTCAAACTATGCTCCATGTTACATTGCAGTTCGATGCGAACCTGCACCTGTGAGATAGAGCCTTCCAGAATTGTTTATCTTCGAATACCACTTGTGCATAACAGAAGTACGTGGATACGGTGGGACATCCAGTCATGGTTTTAGGGACCATTGTTACAACATACTACGCAACGCAGTCTAGAGTGCATAGGTCGTGTCCTCCACAAACCTTGCTGTTTTCAGTTAGGGTCGAAGTTGAACTACTTCGTCCGCACGTGGTGTACAACGGATGACGTTGTACTTGGACCTTCTTGCGTAGGCACCGGCGATCCGCATGCTCATACTACTTCAATGTAGTGAAACCTTCTGCCCAAAAAAACAGCTCGTGATCACATTATCTATCGATGGGAGATACGTATAATAACCGGGAACATAGCTTACTCTGATTCGCTCAGTTTTTACCTATCCTGGTTTCAGTAGTTAACGTTAGAATGTTTCTATCCGCCATTCACTTATTCCGTTAGTTCGAGTATTGTTTTCCTGTTACATATGAACGAGACATTCAACTGCTATACTTGTGCGAAAACGAGCACCCAAATACCCAACTGCGGCGTGAGTCCAATCACTCCCAAAACAAAAGCAGAGAGGCAGACCTTCAGAAAGGAGCTTTTTCTGCCTGAGTTAACGGCACTGTACAAATAATGATAATTGCATTAGCACATACAAAGTGCTTACTGACCGAAATATAAGTGGTTCGAACCCTACCGCTTCCCCCCGACTTCCCCTGTCTAGGCTTGGGCAACCCGGCAGTATCCAACCCTCGTGCTTCCTTCTGGTGGCAAGGCAGCGAAAAGTGCTACAGCTGAACGAACGTACAAAGTACGACTAGCCAATGAGAATCGATACGCTGTCTTTTGAGAAAAAACCAAGCTGGTGGAAAAAGTCACGAAAGATTGAAATAAAAATTTCTGGAAATTCCTTGTCAATAATTCAATACCAGAAGGTTTTCGAGGATACTGATATCCTCAACATTTTCCAGAACAATCCTCAGTCAGTGAGTTTTTACTCTCACACAACAGGACATAACTATATCAGAAGAGTTCGGAAATCAGTCGGGATTTATCGTTGGCCATAACTATGCACTGGCAATTTACGTCCGCCTGCGAGTCGCACTGTACGTTTGGCTGTTGTCAAACAAGCTGGCTGGCTACACAGTTTAAATTCTCTCCTACCTGGTTGGGAGTACTGACAAGCTTTCCGACCGATGTCGGAGCTTCACAGACCGGCAGTTCAATCACTGGCATCTGCAACACAGCCCCGTGGGCTATAATCGATAATACGCAAGGTCAAGGGGTTTTACTTTTAAATCGTGGCACGTGCTACGTGTGCCAGTCGACCGACTTCCTCAAAGTGTTCTTTTCGCACAACCACATGAAGGGTAGAAACAAGCTAGAGGCTGTCAAACAACAACTTGGCAGCGGAGTATAAAAGCTGTCACCAACAAACCCAGCTGCGTTGGTCATTGCCGTCTTCCTGGATGGAGACCCCGAGACGGGTCACATCAGTGGTTAGAAACGCCCCTCAACGGCGCTCGTGTATCCAAGCTATAACATCTAATGCATAGCTCCCTTCCCAACCCCCCTTAACTTAACAGTCCACTGACAGTGCTGTATTTATCTATCAGCTTTCGCCTCCAACGTGCAGCTACCTATCCCACCTCCCCAAGTCACCGGTGAACGAAACTGTGGCAGCTGGAACCACTGTACGATAAGTACGAGGTTCTTGCAGCTGACAGTGATGATAATGAAGCTTGAAGTTTCACCTGAATTGGTTAATAAATTTCCCCGTGCTAGCTGAATTTGTTTTCTGTCAAGTAAAATCCGCTTTGTTTGAACGCAGAGTTCCCCAAACCGAGGGTTTTCGTTCTTCAATGGGCCCTTAGTTCGTATTGTCTGCAATATTTGAAAACGGTCACCATTTTCTCAGGAAGCTAATCTCTTTTATCTGCTGTTACTTTTGTGATTTTGTTGCGCTTGTGGTTTGCTCATCAAACGTGTGTTGGCTGTTTTTCATTCTCAGGTTCGCACTCAAGTCCCTCAACCGCCAGATGTCAACCGTGATTCTCAGGGTCGTACGGTCTGGTTTTGTGAATCCCCGCGCACAGTTACAACCATTTCAAAATTCGCGGCCTATCAGGCTAGATCCTTCGTCGAGGCTCTGCGCGAAGAGAAATCAGCTTCATCGGTTAATTCACCCAATCCCACTTTCGCGGGACAACCCTCGCATACAGGTATCGGTGCATCATCGGAACATGGTCCAGGTATCCTTACGTTTTAGGATATGGGCGTTGAGCTGGCCTGTTTGTCGATTGTCAGCTTGTGGCTCTTAATTTTTTCACAATCCTTACCAGGACCGTCCGAGATGCGGACTGCTAACAAGTTTTCTTAACTTTGAAATCCAAGTTAGCTTCTTCATAACTAGTGCATTCCAACGAAACGTAGCGCTTCCAAATCGGTAGTATGAACTGAAAACTACGGAATCCATCTCCTGATCCACTCATGTTATGGTCAGCTCCACATAGGATGAAACGCCTCCTCTATACTTTACTTACGCTGATTTATAACTTCCAGTTCGTAAAGATCAATTTTATTGCGTCTGGCTGGGTCACACACGCGATTCTCTCCTGGTATTATATAGATTTATGAATACCAGTTAGCGAAGCAAGCCTGGTCTTTTAGATACTTTTTTCCATCGACTTCCACGAAAGATTCATATTCACTTTAGCGCTGTCGTAACTAACAACCTTAAGCACCGCGAACACTGAGTAAGTAGTCAGATATCAGAAAACGCCGATTTTGGGTAGGAGTTTTCTGGTGTAAAGCCATTCACTTTTTAAGTAGCACTAATCATGTGACCCATTTTTTGCCTGCGATTTAGAGATATTTTAGTCTTTATCTCCTAAACTCGGATATTTGGTGTTGCATTTATGTACCTCGCAGCCCAATTGCTGAAAATCACTGCTCGAATTCTGCTGCAAGTATTTTTCTGGCCTGTCAAAACCAGGCAGATTAACATACCCCATTCAAATTGCTGCAGCGGACTCAGCCGTATGGCTGGACAGAATGCGTTGCTGTTCGGGGAAGATCCTCGTTGGCTGGCAGCCGAACAAATATCCTGTGACGATTGCAATCGGACTCCAAACAACACATGAATTTGGGCTAATGAACATGAACAATGACTTTTGTTACTCATCACAGTTGTAAAATTCTTTTGCTCCCTCTTTCCTGTCTTACCGTAGTAAAAACGCGAACTTCATAAGCAAACTGTTTTCACCATCTAAAGTGGTGCTAACAGTAGCAGCCTTTAGTTTATCGTTTGTGGATTCTGGCGCTCGAGAGCCCTGCGCGTGTATATGTCCCATGTTTTTACTCATCCAGATAGAAAGCATTTGTTCATCCATTTTACTACCAGCCGTTCGATGTCCAGTTTTCGATTATCACAATTCGCTCCCTAGTTTCTGATGCGTTATCGTATCTGTCCGTTTGAATACCATAACGTTGTTCGGTATTTTTGCACCATGCACCAGAGTGTTTAAAAACGTAACTGGCATGTCAATCGCCGAAAAAAGCTTCGATTTTAGAGTAACGGGAACAATGAATAAAGCCTCGTTCTTTGTTTAGGTTCAATTTCGCTGCATCTCCATAGAATGACGAACGACACACATAGGTTGTTGGTCAGGTGGTGACTGATTTGTTCCCCGGGATTCGCGATTTACTTCCAAATGTCTCGTCACCACTCCTGGAGGATAGCGGTTGGCCGGGATTCCTCATAGGTTACACTGTGTAGGAGGATGAGTTCTCGCAGGCATTCATGAAGGATATGTAGCTGTTGTCGGGCGGGGGAAATACCCACCCAGCCGCGCACTGATGATATATCCTCGAATGGGGACGAAACGTTTGCAGCTAGTTTGCTAGGCTCGGCGAACAGATCAGCCACCACCTGATCAACGATCACGAGCTATCAGTATTCTGACACACAGCGAAAACCGTAGAACTACTCGGAAGGTATTTATGTACACTGTTCCTCAAAAAGTGCATGTAGATCTGCACTTGAAGTTTAGTTGGAAGTCCGTATAGGGTAATGAACATATGTCGGGTCGTTTACTTTATTTGATTATACTGATGGGTATCTGGAAATTCATCATGTCAAGCAAATTTCGCTTCGAAGCATACCAAACCGTTTACCGCATGATTCAGTCATCCTTCATCATGTTAACCACCTGAACCTTTCCTGCTGAGTTCTTCTCGTAGCAGAGCCTCTAGCAGAAATGAAGTCGGCAAAGCTGTGTCCATCTGCATTGTTGATTGTGAATACAATGTTCACCGATTCTGATAGCAGTGGTACGACATAAGATTACATGCCTTGTCTAGCTCCATTGCCAAATTGAATCGATAGAGCTTGGGTACCGTAAACAAATATACGCCATGCCAAACATTGTCTTCTCACGACAGTTTGCCTCCATCTTGGATCTCTTGAGCATTCCTTCGCTAAAGCACTCACCAACACTGAATCACCATCTATGCCGGTACATTCAACGCCCATCCGCTCATTTTGAACACCTGCAAAAGTGGTCCGGTTATACGATTTTGACACGTGTTAACGCGGGTGGATGCATGTCTCTCTATACTATTTCACTGTAATGTAGCCTTAACTGACACCTCGTGGTTGGGTGCAACCAGAAGGCGTAAACTAACCTGGGTCAGAGCTGTCGATCACAGTACATGATGAGCATGCTTTGGTATGACCAAAGGCTCACAAATTCTGAGTACGGGTCTCCTGGCCTTCCAAATGCACAGGTGGGGTAGTTACACGAGGTACACTCACCTTGAACGCACTTCGCTGTGCATACTGATGGTGACTGGTTTATGTACATTTTCGGTTAATATTCCGTCGTCCGCGATATCGTGTGTTCTACTCGTGAATTAACGGATATATTTATAAAACTTCATTGGTTTTTTTAGGTGTGAACTGTTTTGCTCACCAATCCAACTCGGAATCGCATTAGCTCAAAAATTCCCGTTCACATAAACCCCGTTTGGACATTTCTTCTCCTTTCTATGCGCATTTATTCTGGTGAGTGAGTCCATACCAAAGTTGGGGAGCACTGGACTCGAGTCTCGCTGTTAGTAGTGCGCACAACCGAGACATTTACTGACGAACCTATCACATCACTCATGCTTGAACACAATCGCCTATTCAGACGTGATAATTCATCCAGTGTACACTGATGTGGTGGTATCATGCTCACCTCTCATGTTAACTGTCCGGAGCTCAAGCCCCGCCAAAACTCGAATCCAGTGCTTCTTCTCCTTGATGTGAACTCACGAGGACAGGAATAGAACTGTTCATTGGGAGTGATGTGAACACGAATTCTACAAATCACACAACTACTTGTAACTCGTGGCTCATGAATGGACGGTTAGCGCGAAAAACCGTTCTGTCTCCGCTTCAGTTTCATAATACTATCCTCATTTGGTTGGTTTTAACAGCAGGACTGGATAGAAGCTCAGACGATCGCCGTAAGAAGGTGCTCTTCCGGCGCTTCATAATCCGTTTGTCAGCAAAAATGTATATTGGTTCTGATGGGTGGTCAAATACATTTGAATCGGGCTTGGTTATCCGAGAACGAAACTAAGTTTGTCTATTGCAGGACAATGAGTGCAACCCTGTGATAACTCAAACTCAATACTGTCTTGTATTTCACATTCATCCTCTTTTTATCTTTTCAACAGTGCCCGCACGAAAAGACTCTAGTTGCACAACACCAGATGCCAATTTGTCGAGTGATCCAAGGTTAGTCTGATACCTCTCGTTCGTTGATTTTTGACAATACGGGCCACGCATCGTAACGTGAGACCGATAAGCCTATCTTTTGGTAATTGATCGCATGACTGTTGATCTGTTCACCGAGTTTGGAAGTGGACTTCCATTATTGGATTATTCAGCTTACAATGAGGTTCGTATTCTTTCTCTATCCCACTTGAGTGAAATGGCCCAAGTGGCTAGAGCGCGAATTCACTGGCCGAAAGGTCCATGGTTCGAACCCGACATCTTCCTCTCGACTTCCCCTGTTTAGGTTTGGGCAACCTGACAGTATCCCAGCCCTTGTGCTTCCTTCGGGTAGCATGGCAGTTAGGCACCGGAAGGGTGCTACAGCTGAACGATTTTTTGGGGGGTCAGCTAAGTAGCTTTCTGTTAATACGACATGGTCATGGGCTTAGAATTCTTTTGTGTAGATTGCTACACAACAACCAACAACAAAGCTATGTAGCTCTGATTCCGCACTGATAATTTCGGTTGCATGGAATCCGTCGCTCCTTCGAAATGAAAAAAATATTGCCTGCGGTTTGTCAAAGTTCAACAAACCCTGACGCAGTCTTCGTCGGCGTTTCATCCAGCGAGGTAATTTATACACCTGGTGTGCAAAATCATGGTGGGACTAAATTATAGATGAAATAAAACTCGTCGAGAAATGCATTTCTCAGATTTCGTGGAAACTTAGTCAGTTTATTTGCATTCAGTGCGTTCTGGGTGGAGCACTAACAAAGAAAACGGTCGACAACACCGCACGGTTAGAAGTATGGACATCCTGTATTATTTGATCGGGTTGGGATTTAATCCGCGATGCCAATCGCGCGATTGGACAACATAAGACCTGCGTATTGAATTGACCAGCCTGTCAACGACGGTTTACAGTTTTAATGGTATCCTTTCCGGATGTTGCTATGGAGGCTGGTAAGTGAAAACAATACGTTGAACAACTACAACAAACGTGATCAGCAACGATCTCGTTTTTGTCAGTTTTCCCACCAGTGAATCTGTAACTAGGAGTACTTTGCCAACGTCACTACTTTACCTCACTTTTGCCTCGTAATCGTTTTGTCACACCTTGTTCATTTACTTCAGAATTGGCCATGGAGCTCATCCTCTGAGAACCCCGGAACTCCTCAAAGCCGGTGTACGCACTACAGCGGAAACTCCGGCCTCTGACCCCAATCAGAAGGCTTCGCGCAGCATCAAACCGAAATTAATCCGTTTTGGGACCAACTGTGACCTGTCAGATGAGAAGAAGTGGTTTCCTCAATTGCACGAATTGACAAAACTGCCGACTTTTGTTCGAGTCGTCAGTGCTTTCAATATGCTCAGTCACGTGGGTTATCCACTGCTTGGTATGAACACTGTGCAACTTTATCTCAAGGTCAGTTTTTTTTCTTTTAAGCCTACAACCTGATTTATTGAACCAGAGATAACTATTTGATTTTATTTTCCTCCATTATTGTATTCAATAAAATGCTAAACATTTAACACCGTTAGACTCACCTAATGAATGGTAGACATCAACCTGAAGCACACGTGGACAATAAACCTTCTCACAAGATTAATAGAGTCTACGATATTTTGTTCGACGGTCTACTATGAGCATGTGCAAAAAGCATCGACAAACCGAATCGTCATGAAACGGTTATGGAGAAACCATGAGAAATCAATGTTTGGAATTTGGTTGGAGTAATTGTCCAACTTCAGTGAAGTTTTGGGCTACACCAAATTGATACTCAAGTGTAAAAGAATAAATGGAGGAACGAAGATTTCGGTACACCGAAGACAACGAACGCGAGAAAGTGGATTTGGAAGCGTTGATTGGTGTCGGTGTACCCTGACCTTGGTCCAACCTTGCCAGATGCTGATCCTTGTCACTAAATTGACCGAGCTGAGCGCCCACTCTGGCAAGTGTTCTGCGATGCGAACTGAAGGCTGTCTTACCGTTCGTATCTTCTTACGTGCTCACAATCTTATGTAGATAAAATAGAGGCTGTCCTTCACAGTGTGAGCATTTCGTTGGTAAAAGTGGAAAGTCCATATCATAGAACATTTTTCAAGATAGGCGTTCGGCTGGATAAATAGATTTCCAAGGATCACTGTTATAAAACATCTTTCGCATGTGACATCCTGCACTGACATACAAGGTCTTTTCAGACTTATCGGTGCTCGAAATAAGACAGCACGCTTGTGCCGAGCTGTAGTCGTTCAACGTCACAAACCAAATAGATGGTTCTAAGTTTGGCTTAACCTTGGGTGGGCAAGACCAACACACGACAGCTGAGGCCGACGCTCGTTCTTTCTTTACCTATCGATTTCTCGTTCGACTGTTCATAGTCTGTTCTAGGCGTTCCCCGGACTTCCTTGACTTCACAACTGATCTGACGCCCATTGTTGGCCTGCCACGTGTCCCCTAATTCTGTGATGGCTAACTCCCTCGTATGCGTCTTTCGCTTTTTCTACCACATTTCAAATGTGACTACTGTAAACGGCTGAGTGAAATGTCGCGAAATTATACAAGCTCTACTAATGCCACCACAGCATCACTCGTCGTTCAGCCGTAGCACCCTTTCGGTGCCTAACTGCCATGCCACCCGAAGGAAGCACGAGGGCTGGGATACTGCCAGTTCGCCCAAGCCTAGACAGGGGAAGTCGAGTGCCGAATGTCGGGTTCGAACCACGGACCTTTCGGTCGGTAAATTCGCGCTCTAACCACTTGGGCCATCTCGCCCTCCACAGCATCACTAGTTCACTTTGAATGTCACCCAGGAACAATAGAGGCTGCGACAATTCTTACACAGAACATTTTCCTTCATCCTTTATCTTAGAACCGTTTTTCGTCCAGGGTTACCGTTTTTAAGTAACTTATTCGTGACTACACCACAGTGCCTAATTCATACGTTAACAGCCTTCATTGCCTTGAACTTCGCTCCCCTCTCCCGGGTCCCTTCATGTACTTAGTTTTAGATGTCACACATGGCTCAATTCCATGTGAGGATATCAAATGCCTGTTCGCGCTGCACTCAAGTCCTACTTGTTTGCATCTAGACAACTTGAAACTTCAATCTGAATCGGGGTATCATTTCCAATGTTCCGATAACCTATTTAGCTCCGATGGTTTTATTTCCCATCCCAGACACTCTACACCGTTTATTTCGGTCATCTGGTAGTATTAGGTTTATCTTTGTTTCATGGCCTTATCAACTGGCACCTCACTATCTCCAGTGGCCCTCCTGTGCCGTGATAACTTTCATTGCGGCCACCGTAAGACGAATTCAAGTGTGAGCCAGTTCCGACCAACTCACTCACCAATTCACATTTGAATCTATTCACTGCAGAAAAGTTTATTTCTCCTATGACTCCCACAGTTGGCGAAGCCAAGCGACTTGAAAGAGGTTGCCTGAATGAATGAATATTCATTTGTGGGTGCCTTTCAACTTGAGGTTGGAATGAATCAAGCTTGTTGGAGTGCGATTAGCTTATGCCCGATTTCAGTATGTTTCGTGCACTCATTCTACCTTTCTAAAGGTTCCCGGCTGTCGTACTCCCGGACATCAGGAAAACAACTGCTTTTGTGCTGTAAACATCAACATCGGACCAGGAGACTGCGAATGGTTCTCTGTCCCGGAACAATATTGGGGCGCTATTCATGATCTTTGTGAGAGAAACAATGTGAGTGCGACTAGTTTATTGTACATATTCATGAGCGTGTTGTTGCTGTGTGATGGCAACATGGCTTGGCTCCTGTCTGTTACAAGAGTTTTGCCCACTCATTGTCCAGCCAAGTGTGTTGTGCCAAATCACAGAGTTGTATGCATGGATTCAAGTTTGCTTAGCTAAGGTCGATGCACCATCCGCGAAGTTGCTATCGCCCTCTGGTGATAGGCCAGTGTTGGTCACGTTTGTCATCATAACCTACGTTACTGTGACTTTCGGAGCAGTTTGGCAAACATACACATACGCCACGCATTTTTTCGTAGTGTTTGGGCACTGTTCACCAGTCTCCTATCTGCCAATACCAAACTAATATTTGAAAATGGGATACATGGGTATGACCTTCTCATCAGGCACGTACTGCAATTACCATAAATTGGTGAACAGAAAGCATCAGTTTACCGTGTAGGTTATCACGTTAGTGTCTCAGCTTACGCTGGTTCAGCTTCTTATCGCAAATAGCAATGAACCCAACAAATTTAAGAATCCTGTTGTAGGACAATCTGAACAGCAATCCTTTGTTCGTTGCAGGACTTCCCCAACCGGATGGTGTGCAACTAAAGAGTTAAACTGCAGAGTACTGCGCGCTCCCGCCTGATTTTGGCACCATGTCGGTGCATCTGATTGGTACGGCTATCATCAGGCTGTCAGCATCACTTGTCTCCTCGTCTCAGTCGGGATCACCATATGCCAAAAATTAACTTTTGAGTGCGTAAGGCTTCCCTGAGTTTTCTTCTTGCTAGGCGATCATGTACCTGCGAATCGATCCATAAATTTTCGATTTGCAAGAGAGCGGTGATGGATAATGAGCAAAGACTGGCCTCGCTGTTTGGCAGGTCCTCCACATTACAACCTCGGTCTCGACATCAGAGTTGCGAAATTAGCTGAGGCCATCGCCTTCCACAACTGTGAGCCAAATATGTACAAGCAGAAGCGATCTTTTAGTTCATTGTTAAAAGCCTCATGAAACTCAGTTCTAACAAAGAACTGTGTCCGAAGTATCATGCAGAACAGTGCTGTTGTGTTTCGTTTTTCAAATCCATTACGTGGAAAGGCTCTTTTTATATTCATAGCGTAAGAGTAGCAGGTTTTGTGGCACACGCCGCCTAGTTCATGCCATTTTGTGACGGCCATTTCGCGTTGGTTGCGTCTCAAGACTGCTTGAACTTATCCAACGAACCTTTCAATATCTGTGGTTGGTTAGATCGGCTCAGTCGTGTGCTTGGCTAGAATCCTGAAGTGCACATCTCTGATCGGTCAGTTATTAAATAGTAGGTCATTTGAAATCCTCTCTTTCCCAGTGACCCTCGGGTACATTTCAGTGACCCACGGTTGACTTCCAGATACAAATGGAAATAAGTTATTCAGACTTTGAAATACATCACCTTGTAAACAACTCACAACGCCGTTTTTGTGTGTGTGTGGAGAGACAACTGAACCATATGCGAAGTCAGGCATTCATTTGCCAGGTGAGAGCTTCGGACTATTCCTACCTGAAAAGCTTCAAATAGGCGAATCCCTCGGTGAAGGTTTTTTGTGAACCTTGTGAGAATTATTGCGTCATGCTGAAATATACTTCAAGGCCTAAACGTCGGGCCTCCAGGGAGCAAAGTGGCGCACTGTTAGTGGTCCATATCTTTCTGTATCCCTAACCACCGATGACTACGGTTCTTGAGTCCCCATCCACTAAGTTTTCTGGTAGGGACTTTCATGGTTCCTTGTCAGGTCATTGTCCATCTATCTTTAAATCGCTTCCAGCATACGACTGAACAAAAAGGGCTCTGAGGACGAGCCGGACTCCGGTGGCGATATACCAGGGACTTCTGTACTATTTATAGTTTTCTATGCTTGAAGCAGCCGACCTTTAAAAAAGGCTATTTCCAAAAGCGTGTGATGGTTCATTCCATATATCCTTCTTGACGATGATCTTTCTCTGGTTCCCGCAGGTTGACTATCTAACCGGTTCTTGGTGGCCGCATTTGGAAACATTGTACAATGAGGAAATTCCGGTCTATCGGTTCATTCAGAGACCCGGAGACCTGGTATGGATCAATGCAGGGACTGTTCACTGGGTTCAGGCTATCGGTTGGTGTAACAATATCGCGTGGAACGTTGGTCCGATGACCGCACGACAGTACAATATGGCAGTGGAACGTTATGAATTCAACCGTCTTCGGGGTGTCAAGTCCATCGTTCCCATGATCCACTTTAGCTGGCAGTTGGCTAAAAATTTGAAAGTCTCTGACCCAGGCTTATATGAGTTAATCAAGTACGTGTGTCTGTGTTTGTTTATCTGTTTGTTTGTTCATCTATCTTGAGGTTGCCATCAGTCACAGTTACTCATGGTAGGATTGTCTTCTCCAAATGTGTTTAGTTATGCTTCTGTTTATCTCCGAGCCCAAGTTTGCTATGCAAAAGGTAGGTTGTGCTATCTAACTTATGAAACTACCTTAAGCTCGCTTCAAAGTCATGTACTGACACTTATTTATGGGAAACTTAATTTCAACAATAAAATGTCATCAACCCTGAACTTCAGCAAGCACCCGAGTGAAGTTCCGGTGTTCCTTCTTGTTTCAAGACTAAAACATTATTATACCTAACTAGTTTATCGATAGTGGATCATCTGGCAATATAGTAATCTTTCAGCTGCGACACCCTACCGGTGCCTAGCCGCCATGCCACCCGAAGGAAGCACAAGAGCTGAGATGCTGCCAGGTTTCCCAAGCCTAGACATGAGCAGTCAAGAGGTCAGGTTCCAACTACTTACCTTCCGGTCAGTAAGCTCACGCCTTAACCACTGAGCTATCTCGGATCCTCTAGACTGCCCAGTCGACAGTTTCTCTCCATTTAGCTAAAAAAGGTCGGCTTTTTCTGGCTGTGCGTGTGTTAAGACTTCCTGAGGATAGATCACTCCTTAAAGTTCCCATTTCTTGAACAACCATCGCGTTACCGGTTATCAGTGAAGGTTGTCGGTGATCGCGGGCTGTTGTCGCATCCTTGGAAGCTATAATGTGCCGGACCGTGTTGCCCATTTATCCTTGTAAATGCAGTACCCAGGTCCCGTTACACACTTTAACTGATTTGACTGAGAGCTTGGTGTCGCTAAGAGTTGAAATGCATGCGACGGGAAACTTGGTACCTGGTTCACCATCCCATACAAATCCTCCTTATTAACCAACACAATCTCCCTGGGGCGTGTCTATTGCACCGGTGCTCCACGGACCATTTACTCTTGGTCGAGCTCCCGTGAGCATTTTCAACCTGACTTTCGACCTGTTTTTGAAAACATCGGAGGAACCCTGGCAGACAAAATTGTGAAATTTTATTTGAACCAACTGATTTGTATCTCCCTTGGGCGGACACACAAAAGATCATTTTTTGTTGAGGACCAAAAGACTCCGACACCAGGCAAATGAACCGTAACTTTTGAATGACAAACATATCAGGGTAACTTCAATTATTTCCACAAGCACACTTCAGAAAAACCAACATGCTGCAAACGGTTCTTGTGGGACTCTCACTAGCTTGAACGAAATTCGGTCGTTAGGGTGTTGGCTGTCGCGCCTTTCCTGTTAGGTGCTTGCACTTGTCAATTGCCAGTACGTTACATCGAGTGCTAACGTCACACCCCCCCCCACACACACACATACATATGCATGCATACATCTACCGCAAAATAACATTTCAGTTAACCCAGGAATTACACAATTAACCTTACAGATTCGGTACGAGAAAGTTATTACTTGCGGAGTGACCCATCATAACTCATGGATAAATATTTGCATGTTGCAAAGTAGCAACCACTTTCACTAACCTTCGAAAAGAAACCTTGAAAAAACTTGGAAAAAAATTATTCCAGCTCATTGTGAACTTCCACGCTGTCGATTTCGCACTTTTTTCAGACAAACTCTTCTGCGCACTATGGTTCAGTCACAACTGGCTACAGATTTCGTGGAAAAATTGGGCTTACCCATCAAGCGTCATGGGAAACAGCCGGATGACGTCGCGCACTCTTGTCATGATTGTGAGGTGAGCATTAATCCATTCCCCCTTCTAGCCCAGTGTGTAATACTGTCTGGACAACACTGGTCGCTGATCTAGCTTAGGTTTCGTGTATGTTCATTTCCGCGTGGTACCAACAGGCATCAACTGATTCTCCGAGTTCGTTCATGTTGCGGGAAAGTACATGTGATCGCATTCCACCCTGATGTGATACTACTTTTAAAGTTGACAAAACTCTTAAACAACTCACCACTGGTATCATTTTTTGCGGGTCGGGGGCAGAGTTCAATCTCGGTAGGATCGATGAGCTCCAAAAGGTTGAAATTGGTAGGTCGCTGTTCTAGGGTTTTTCATCAGCCCTATACATCGTGTCTACGGAGGAAAGCACCTCGATATCTTGTATATTGTTCCAGATAAAATATGAGGTGGTCTTTGCGCAACACATTCAAGTGGGAAGTGTTGTAGACGAGATTTCCCGTTGACTCTTCCGTGAACACAATCTTTACTTGCTGGTCATCACGCATTCCCGTAGTCAATTCCACCTGTTCTTTACGCTCATTTTTTTTCTGCTTGTTAGGGCAACGAGATGATAAATGGTTCAACAATCAGGCTCCTATACGAAAATCTAGTCACGTTTCTGTAGAAGGATTACACTAAATGCTTGTCTGATGCAGCATTCAGTCCAAAGAAGTTCCTATAACTGTCATTTCAATCCAGAATTATCCTGACTCTTCTGCTGTGTCCTTGGGAATTTCATACACATTCACTTGTTTGGTAGTTGACCTGATTACTTTACCAAGGAATAATTGACCTTCAGACAACTCCAAATGATAGTCAATCGAGCATATACTTCTGCATCTTTTTTACGGTGGAAAGGTGCAGCTCACTCATGCCAAAAGATCGTCTGCCTCGCAGAGCTCTTTTCACCCAGCCCTGTGCTTAGTGGAAGCGAGCAATGTAAGACCTGGCAATGGAGTAGGAAAACACTAAGCAGTAAACTTAGTCGGGTGGGCAACTGCCGCCTCCCTGGATGGGGACCCCGGGACTCAAATCACCAGTGGTTATTGACATTAGAGGAAACAGCCCAATCGCGCAGTCAGTGGCGCTCGTGCTTCGCCTTCAATGCGTAGCTACCCAATTTCCGAACAAATTGAGCTTACCTCCGCCTCCAAGGCTTGGTTTTGTATTCCACTTTCCTGTTTTCCTTGATCGAAACTGTAGCAGCTGAAACCAATGTGCCTATGGCACATGATTTATAGCTGGTGAATTGAATTGGTACAGCTTACTGGGTAAAATGAGCGGAATACAATCTCGGATTGGTTAACTAGACGATATTTGTCCCGAAAGCCTCCTGTGAACTTTTAGTTTCCTGCTTCCTGATCCAGCTGGTCAGGCACGGGGAATCATCTTAATCCAGATCGTTTGTTTGTGACTTTCTTTCAGTAAATAATTTCTGTGCACCAATATAAGACACAAAGCGCTCAAATGCTCTCAGGTTGCTCAGACCTAAACAAGCGCACTCAACAGTTTGGGGATGGGTTCGTATTGCAGATCTTTCAGACCAGAAGGCCACTTCAGTTCTGTGCTGCGTTAGCCTAATATGTCGGTTTCTTTACTGTATCAGATAAATAGAATAAACGATATAAATCTCACCATTTGCTTCCACTCCAGCAACCATCTCTTCCATCACTATATCGCATTATCTCGACGCGTGACTATACCCGTTGAATTTTATTCGCTTCTCACAAAATCTGTCCTGGAATGTGATCGCAAAATACCGGGCGTAGTGATTAAGCGCATCTATAGAATTTGACATTTTTACTGATGCCAGCCCTGTTCAGAAGTTTTCATCATATTTTGGTATTTTGTACGTCTTCTCCTTCCCGCGCCTCACCTGTCATTCTGCTGTTTTGCATAGATTGAAGTGTTTAACCTGCTCTACGTCATGGCTCAAGATAAGAAGCTGGTTGTTCGCTGTTTGGATTGTGCTCGACGTATCGACCCGAGTCTGCGCGCATTTACCATTTTGGTGGAGTATTCTATGCATGAATTGGCTGAAGTTTACGACGATTTCAAACTACAAACAGTGAGTTTGCTGAGGTGTCTTGTGGTATTTCTGTTTCAAACGTTCCCTGTCTCTTTCTTGTTGTCAACTATCGTCACTGATCGTTAAGTTATCGGCCTAGCTCATGTCATCGTTTCCGTCACTGATGGAACGTTTGTGCTGAACATTGCTGCCGCGCCATGTTATGGATAGAGCATTTTTACAATCAACGAATCAGGTGTTGCATGCGTCTGGCGTTTGGTGCTAGTTTTTTTTCAGTGGTATCCGTTTCGTATTGTTTAGCAGCAACCGTGTAATGTCAATAACTTCAACTTTGTCAATCCTTATTGCGTAGCATATGTTGGCTAATTAGCCTGACGGTTTGACTGAATACAGTAGCCGCGTTCAAGTCTCCGTAAGTTGGTTTGCTTGCGACGGCGCTCAGTATTTGAACAATGGGATTGAATTTTCGAAAGCTAAGACGTATCCCTGATGGACTAAAACAGACAGGCGATTGAGTTCAGAATACCAGTCCAAATTTTTGAGCCCCATCTAGACATCCCGAGTCCCAGTGATGCTAGGAAAGCATTCTGACAGAGGTATGATTGCTTCAGTGGATAATGAAATTCGGTGAGCTGCAAAAATACAAACGTTAGTTAAGGTATTTTTTGGTATGAGCACGTAAGCGATAAAATACAACATTTTGGCGTAAAAAGTTCTATTCCACTCGCAAAGGTTTTGTAACTAAGGGCATTGTGCGGCCAATGGGCCTCCAGATGCAACGTCATCAGGTTATCGATTACATGTCCAAACCATCGAACACACTACAGTAGGAGGCCATAAGCGGGATCGGTCCAACATTCTTACAAACCTCACAGGCCTAGCACATGATGACAGATAAACTCTGACTAGGCAGTCCAACTGGAAAGTGACAACAGGATTTAAGCTGGGATCGGCTGTCCGACTTGTCCCGTTAGAGACTCTTGAAATGCTTCTCGGACAACGGCAGTCAAATGTTTGAAGTGCACAGGTTTCACAGTCAGAACCGGAAAGAAATTCTTGCAGCCTTGTACTACCGATTAGCAAAGTACATGTCACAATTAGGGACCGCCTGCAATATTCTGTTTCAAGTTGGTTAAGAGGGTTGATGACTGTGAACTAGCAGGAAAGCTATAGCTGTACATTCCGAGTCTACCACGTTTTCTAAAGAGACCACCCTAATGCCTTGGTTTGGAATTGTTTGTGTCCTCCACTATAGAATCATTGATAAAGTCACACAAGAAAGAGGAGACGGTCCCGGGGAACTTCACTGTAAGCGGGGGAAACTTTTGGTCACTGGGAGTGAGTGAACAGAGGGCACAGAAAATATTCGAACTTCTTGGACCAACGGCGACGAGACTAAATAATCTACAAAGTCGAAAGTCGCCGCGAAATTCGTGGAGACGGTGAGTGCGAATAAACGGAAGGCGTAACACTGTTCAAGCTTTTGAAACCAGATGTACGGTCCAGACATTTTCTATCCTATAGCCGAAGCAGTCACTTCGGGTGATTCTTTGAGGAAAGGCAGATATCATGGACTGCTCCCAGTGGTCGGCAAGTATCCTTCCTAAATTAGTCAAATCAAAAAGGTTACTTAACTGTTGTGGTGTCCAATAATCTAATAACCATTTGTACCATCTGAATTCGCACGCCCGAAATACGCTCAAATGTTTTCGAATCAGGTTTATTCATATTGCATCGCCCATATGAAAGATGAGTGCCAGGTGAGTCCAACTGACTGATAGCTCAGTAGTTAAAGCACCAAATCACTGCCCGGAAGGTCCGTGGTTCGAAACCGACCTCTGCCTCTCGACTTCCCCTGTCTAAGCTGGCAGTATCAAAGCCCTCGTGCTTCCTTTGGGTGGCATGGCAGCTAGGCACCGAAAGGGTATTACAGCTGAACGACTGACTACTCAATGTCTACAATAAGGATCGCGCCCTCACACTACAGAGCGTTTTCTCACCACAGTTACGCGAATAAGTAAGAGCAGGGAGAAAACCTGTATTAGCTGCAAAGCGTGTAAGCTGTTACAGACATTAAATCGCAACGCATATTCACTAACTCGGCCTGTGAGTTTCACTGACTCCATGCATCGTATGTAACAGTTGGGAAAAGTAATAAAAGTTGGATACTTGCTTGCTCCCTACTCGCTATGATGCAGTCATCCGGCCACCTTTTTTGAGGTATCCTTTAATGAGCAATACGTTTTGGCCATGTGGCGAACACAACCCATAAGTTTGAAATTTAGTTAATGCAATCTGCGAGCAACTGTCTATCATGGTAAAACTGGCCATGGAAAAATTATTTAGAAGCCTGTCCATATCTGACTGAAATGATACGAAACTTATGAAGGAAACAACTAAGGTCGGATAAAACATGCACATTTTGTATGGGCTTCCTTTCATCATCATCATCATCACCACCATTTTTGCCCTTTTCTCAGTGAGCATACAGTTGGATGGCCTCCAGAACCGAATGGTTCGCTTCGATTCCGACTCAGCCGTACTGTATCACTGTGTGCGTCTCGAGGCGCGAATATCGTCCTCTGGCCCCAACAATATTCGTTGTAAATTAAGCTCTGATATTTACTGCAAATACATCACAGAAGGCAGTCTGTTTCTAGTTGTCATTGTTCCCCATGTTTCTGTCCTTCCATCGATTCATCGGATTCACTGGCTTTTCATGTGATCCGCGAGACCAAGTACCTCTTTATGTTTCGATCCCCTCTTTGTTTATTTAGAACAGAACCCTAGAAATTGGTGTGTACAATTGGTTGACCGAACTTGTGTTGTGCAACCGTTTACTAGAGGGCTCCCTTCATTCAAAACGGTTATAAACTATGGGGCATTTCGCTTACTCAACTGCTTGGGTCTTGTTTTTATTCAGTTCGGAGTCTATCTACTGACTAGTGTTCTACTAGTTACATTTTAGCAAACAGTCAGTTAAAAGTAGATGCTGGCGATCAACCGAAAGACGTCAGTTGATTACTGAGGAGGAATCAATTCATTTTTGTCAATCCACCCATGACAGTGCTCGACAAGGTGGATAGTCGAATTTCACAACTCCCAGCCTTACTATTATTATTGAGCTGTTCGTCCGAGATTTCTATTGAGAGCAGCATTTGTCCTTTATTCAGTAGATGTACGATCCTTAGCTGTCCATACTAAACTGGAAGTGCGCGTTGCGTTGGGTCGTTATCCAGTAAGCCAGGTGTCAGTCGATTTTAACTGCCTTCCGTCTCTAGTCTTCGTGGCTTTTGCATCCTGATATTAACCATAACTTACTGTTTCAATCTTCTAGCAACCGCTCACGGCGTATCCCGTCGGCAAAAACTGAAGTTCTTCCGTGCGGCTATTCAACTCCTGTGTGCTTACGTTTCAGTATTTTTTCTATTTGTACAGTTCGTTATTTCTCTCACATTCATCGCCGTTTGTGTAACTTATTCTGTCCTTGTTCGTATCCTACAACCTGCGCCTGTCTATATAACATTTTGTGTCGTTCCCGTTATTCATTCTGAACATTTTGGCAGCGTTGTACATACATATCTACGCACCCGTTTCCTCCATCTTCTGATCCAGTTGACCAACGTTCCGATTTTGTGACCCATCACCCACTGGCCCACTTTGTTTGGGTTTAGGCCTGTCAGCTATAATGACGATTATACTTAGTCACCCCAGAATGCTTTATGATATGACATTTTCTGTTAATTTCTCCACGGGTCTCCACACTCTACTGGCTGGATCTGGTCACCAAGGAGCTGTTATGTATCTCTAAGTGAAACTTGCTGGACCAGGTACTTAGTACCATAAGTAGTGATTCATTATTTTTGAAGCAAAAATTTTTTTGAACTTATTGCAGCACCACGGTGATCAGCTGGAGGATAATCGGTAGAAAAATACTCGATTGTTGGGGAAGGTACGCTCGTTAATGTCCCTGGGAAAATGACTCTGTTATGATATTCTCCACATACCGTCATGATCGGATAATGAATTCGTCCCGGTATAAGACCTAAAGCTGTTTCTTTGTCGTGGGGGTCGGGCTTCTGTGCTGCAATGATCCTGCGGGTTACACTGGCTGGAACTTAGTTCCTACAGGTTCACCTATGCCAGGACGACCAAACGGGAGCAACCCGATGGAGAACAGCGGGTCCCCGTACTGCTAGGAATCGTATTACGAGGCGGTCTGGAAGTAAAGTCGTACTGTCCATTGAGATAGGAGTGTGAAGGCAATAAGACGTTTCCCCCAGGCGACCAGCATGTCCATATTTATGGAAGCAGCAATACTGCCCTCCCACGAACAAGGAGGGGTTAGAAGAGGTCAACCCAAAAATTCGCACACTCCGGTCGACCGTGACCTCCGGCGCATTATTCAATACGGTCGAAATATTTTTAAAACCAAAGAGTGATGCTACTCAAGGTATCTGCTCTGCGCAAATGCACTAGAAGTGGGACAGTAATGCCTTACTCCCTCCTTCCTCGGGCCAACTGGGTTAGACTATGGATTCCCCCAAGAAAATCCCAACAGCCGCTGCCTCGCGGTTCACACTTTTGAGTCAAGCTAGAGGGCTGGATCCCAGGACAAAACGTTACATCTTCCCATTGCCTTGTGGGTCAGACTTTGGAGTCAAAGGCTCTAGGTGGGATACCTCAACCAAGCTTCCTTTTTCGGCTTGGGTAACCGGGAAGTATCATTCGTCCGTGCAGCTGTTCGCTCAACGACCTTCCCCTACATCCTCTGCCCACCGATATGGTGCCACCTGCCAATCCCCTAGCCGTGCCTCAACCGCCCAGAAAATAAACCAGATCAAAAGATCTGATCCGCTTTACAGCCTTTGGTATCCGTAATCTATTTCAACTCGGATAACAGGTATCTCTTGCTAGAACCTTACTTCCCTTCTCTATCGATATATGCAGTGTCTTTAAGAGCACTTCACCTGGTCTCCTTCAATACAACAACTGAATGGAACATCGAGGCCAGCCCGCCATCATCAACCGAAATCAGG